AAGTTCGCTAATAAACACATTTATAAAATTAACAATACATAAAAGTATCAATAGGACTAATTTTTTTAAAGTATACTAATATTTTTAACAACTGGAAAGTGAAATTATTTGTTAAGGTACTTTCACTTACAAGATCAAGACCTTGAGATTGAGATCGTGACCTCAAGACCCCGTAAACGATAATGAATTAAAGACTTTTATATTATAAGATTAATTAAAAAGATAATGATACTTTCACAATATTTTTTTGACAACATTTTAATACTATCTACATGTCATTATGTGATTGGTCTATATTGATGTTTATGATTATTATTATTGATTGTGGAATAATTTTGAACCAATCACATGATAACACGTAGATGTTATTAAAATGTTGTCAAATTATCATTATCCTAATTAAAAAAACACATAATTTTATAAACATTATCTCAGCATGTGAGAACATTGTGATTTACAATTAAAGTACAATATGAAGAAAAAAAATCATTTACCCTGTCAATGTACCAAAGAAAAAAATCAAATTATTTGTAACACAGATGCATCTACTAAGAAAAACATGATTGGCTAATAATGTCACAATGCATATCTTAGTTTAGCAAGTTAATCCGATAACATTAATGGTTGCACTAGTTATATAAAAATGGAAATGATCGTGGTTGTGTATAGTCCTTGTGATTTCTCATTTTTGTAGTTATCTACAATTAGAATTTATTTTGTGTCAAATGGAAAGACACCTATATATCGATCACTGAATCTTAGTTAGGAAGATACCTGCCATTGTATATTAACGTAATCAATTCCACTAAAAACAATATAAGCTAAATTAGCCATTTACAATCATACCACATATGAGGAGACGTTTGAACCCAAATTTTCAACTATATTATTATTACTATATCAATAAAATTATAATAACATTCATAACAAAAATATTAATAATATTATCGACTAAAATATCTCCATCTTCTTCTCAATTCCAACTACGTAATGCTCCATCATCATTAGACTATGATAATGTCATTTATCAATTCAACCATTCATTTATCATCCATACCTATATGTCACTCTTTATTGTCCACCAATGCCATAATTTGAGAAATATGGTCGAGTATGTCAACCATTTAAGTCGGTGACTTCTTTGAGGCATTTCAATTTACTTACGTGTGAGCTTAAAGTTTCATAATATATAAGATTGTACTTCATCAATATGTTCTGAAATTTTAAGTAAAAGTGGTGTTTCACTTTTATGCCCATAGTCCTTACTCGGCTCAATCACGTAGATATTTTTTTTTTTGTTTTTTTTTTTATTTAGTTCTTCTTGATCTTAACACTACACATGTCAAGAAAAAGCTTTGGATTTGATTTTTGACTAGAGGAAAGAGTAATGAATCAATAATTATTTTTTTATATAAATAAACGGAAACTGAAATTCTATATTAAACTCTTTTTCAATAAATTGTTTTGTTTGGTTAAATTTATGGGTATTTTACTATCTCGATTCCTAATATTTAATGACTAAAAGAACTGATGTTGACAAGACTAAAATAAAATGAAGACTTTAGTGTACGTGAGTTTAAGGCTAATTATAACATGATGGTTTTCTTCTTCTTTGTGACTAAGATGATTTAGGGTGTGTTTGTTTTTTAAGTTGGATTTGGAAAAGTGGATTTAAGGGGAAAAAGAGATGAGAGTGAGATTGTTTGGATTAAGAGAAAAAATAGTGAGAAATAAAAAGATTTGAAATGAATGATGGAATTTTTTTTAATAGAACTAAATAATATATATGATTAAAGAAAGGAAACTTAAAAATTAAAGAGTGCAAACAAAATAAGAGTTTAATAAACATCACTAATGCCTGAGTGTAATAAAAAGAGTTGTTTTTTTGCGAAAGCATTTGTTACATAACGGTTAATAGAGAATTATCTTGATAATGGAAAGAATATATTTATATAGTAACAGTTATATATAAATATTCTGTTTATATTCTATAGTAAGGATTGGAATTTTTAGTAAGCATGATGAGATGTCAACATGTTACATCTTCAAATATTTATGGAACTATATTTCTTTTTATAGAGAAACTTTGATAAAGAAAAAAACAATTAACCTCCTTAAACCGTTGTGCTATAAGAGTAGTGGTAATAATAATAGAAAATAACACTTTTTCTAAGTTTCTTTTCATTCTAATTTGAAAATGAGAGACACTGATTAATAGGGTCCATTTCAATTTTAACTATTCAATAAAAAAAAGCCTATAATAAAGAGTGAGCATGAAACAAATATGGCTAAGTTCCTAGCGCCATGTTGCTATTTTTCTCTATCTCTTAAAGCAATGTGTGGGTCCCACTCGAGAGTTGTCCTGAAGAAACATGGCAACAACAGGGATTAATAATGGAGGAAGACAAGGGATTACAATGGTTTAAAGAAAATACACATTAGAGTGTCCACAACAATATTAGAGAATAATTAGTGGCAATGCAATTATTCAATTGTATTTTTTTTTTAATTTTACACTCATGCAAATATGTTTTCTTGGCTGTTGTTGCAACCATATTTGAATCGTTATTCCATCTTCTTTTATTTCCACATTTTTTATTGGATCGGGCATTCAAATAATCCTTAAGACGCGTCTCTAGAATATTTGTAATTAAGGGTCAAAAGCTTCAAATAGTTATAATTGTATGTAAATTATATTGAATAACGAAAACAACGATGATTGAAACTTACTTACAATATTCAATATTCATATGTTGGTAAAAAAAACATTGATATTGTCATATTTAAATACTTTTTTTCTAAGCTACTTATGTGTTGTACTTAGAAATTGTTGGTGTATGTGTTTAAGATACTCATATTTGAAGGTAAATACAGAAAGAATATAATTTTTAGGAATACAAAGGCTGATGTTTTTTTCTTCTACTCAACTAAAGATCTGGCTGTGCTAGAAAGGTAGTTTGCAGGTTAGGAAATATTGATAGATCACATGAAATTGTGGAACGAAACAAAGAACAATACTGTTGCTCAGTAAATCTTGGGACGATAAAAGATCATTTACACTGAATACACTGATAAAGTTTTTACTCTTTTTCTGTCATTTTGTGAGATTGAAACTATGACAAGTCTATAAAGTGCAATTACATTTTGAAAACATATAAAAAGTAAGATTGTCTGCCTTTATAATATTATTGTGTGTGCATTTAAAGATTAATAAATACAGAAATGAACTTTGCAGCATTAATGGATGAGTGCAACTAATAGTTGTTAGTTTTGCCTGGCTCAGCTCAAGTAATTTGTAGTCATTTAAGTAAGCATTGCTTAGAAAAGAAAGTGTTTCAAATTTTCTTAATTTAAAGATTAGTCTCCTAAAAATAAGAGATAAGGATAACAAAAATATCCGCAACCACGTATATCTGCGGATAAAATTTACGACAAATAGTTGGTATTAATGAATATTTATTATTCGCGAATGCAGTTAGCGGGTATTTTAATATTTTTTTATAAACGAGTCGGAAACTGGTATTATACTATATGTACATGTAGATATTCGTTTTCCTAAAAAAATAAAAATAAAATTTAATTATATTTTATTAAGTTAAATTTAATTAAAATTAAAATTAATTTATATTTTATAAAATTAAATTTTAATTTATATTTATATTTAATTTAATTTATATTATGTTTTATATATTTTTTATGATTTTATTTAAATTTTATTTTAATAATTTATAAAATATGTTTTTTAAATATTTGTGACGGCAAATATATCATCCGTGGAGTTTAATCGCAAATATTTTTTAAATAAGTAGCAAACGGATAATAAGTAAATTCATTTTTTCGAATCAAATTAAGAATAGACATTATTCATACCACTTGTTTTTATCCAATAATATATAAAAGAAATAGAATAAAAGAAATAGAGTATGTAACAATATGATTTTGGGATTAAACTTAAATTAGATTGATCACTTGCTTCTTACTCAAGAAAATACGGCATTTAAGACGCATCTTTGTCCAAATGTTGAAAACCTACTTTAACCACCCTTTAACTCAACAAAAAGTTTAAAAAAGGTACAATAGTTGACAAAAGTTTATTGGATGGAAAAGAGAGAAATCTCAAAAGCACAAGGACCATAAGGTACGATTAGTGTATGTTTTGTTAATTTAACATGATCAAAAGTCGTCACTAGTATAAATGGAAAATAATTAAATTAAAATATAACTTTTTTAATTTTATTTTGCCGGTAGAAAGTTGAATTTAAACTAATATCTCATAAATAATAGATTAAATTATTTTTTACAAATCAAATGCTACATAAATACTATTTGATCTATCCGATAAATTATTATACTTATATTTCACTATAAGTTATTTAAAGTAAAAGAAGAATAATAGATTCATACACTTTAAATTCCACGTCGATTAAGAATAAGGTTAATTTATAATATATAAATAGATAGTAAATTTTATTTTATAAGTTGATTTTGTGAAGTTGAGTTATGTTTAAAGTCAACTTCTTAAAATGGTATTAGAGTTAGGACTATAACTTATCCTAACGATATTTATTATTTGTTAGACATATTGTTCACTATATATAATTATATATATTAGCGATATTTGTTGTTTATTAAACATATTATTTCACATGCTATCAGACCGTTATCGAACTATACATTAATGTCTAGTCTCACACTCGAAATGATTGAATTTTTATATTTAAAAAAAAATAGGAAAAAATAATATTAAATAAATGTAAAAATTTATATATGTAAAAATATATATTTTTTATTTAAAATATTTTTAAGAATGCTTCTGAAAGACACTAAACACTTAATTTAAAGAATAGAAAGATATTATGCATTCATTATGAAAATTTCTGGAGTTATACAGAGACTGTTTTGAAGAAACTGCATCCATGAGTCCCTATAAAAAGGACCATAGAATACAAGTGAAATACTCAAAACCAGAGTATTAGTCACAGTCATCTTGAGTTCATCTCCCGCATTTTACCCTCAAAACTCATGGGTGCCAAAGCTACCTTCTTTCTTTTCTTCACCTTCTTTGCTTTATGCTCATCCTTCCCAGTGGAGAGGAACTATGTACCCTGCAAACACCTGGTCCTCTTCTTCCACGACATCATCTACAACGGAAGGAACGCTCTGAATGCAACCTCCGCAATAGTAGCAGCTCCACAAGGTGCCAACCTAACCAAACTGGCAAACATCTTCCACTTCGGAAATCTAGTAGTTTTCGATGACCCCGTCACCTTGGACAACAACCTTCAGTCCGAACCTGTTGGTCGGGCACAGGGCTTCTACATTTACGACTCCAGGAACACTTTCTCTGCGTGCCTCGGATTCACCTTTGTTCTCAATAGCACACATCATGAGGGAACCATCACCCTCGCTGGAGCTGACCCCACCTTGAAGAAGACCAGAGACATCTCAGTCACCGGTGGAACTGGAGATTTCTTCATGCATAGAGGAATCGCCACCATTATGACGGATGCTTTTGAAGGTGAGGTTTATTTCCGCCTTCGTGTTGAAATCAAGTTTTATGAGTGTTGGTGACACATATACACACACACAAAGTTACATTACGGTAAATAAATGTGGCTGTTTCTGTCAACAGCCTCCTCTACTTACTGTTATTATTATATTAAATAAATATGGCTGTTTGTGTCTACAGCTTATTCTGATACTATGTGGTTTGCTTGTTGTAATAACGTTATTGGTTCTCAGTTCGAGACAATGCGTACTATATATGAAAATCCTTTCAGCGTGTTTATCCTCCTCAAAAGTCAATATCATCATCCATTTCTTCACTCTCAAATCTTGTATAATGGAGAATCCTGAGCTCAGAAGCATGTTGGCCGGAGAAAAATTTGATGAAGTTAATGACATAAATGTTTAGAATTTGTTTTATGACATAAATATTTATGTGGATGTTGCGAGAATTCGTGAAGATAATTTGTAATATATCAGCAAACTATCTTCAATAAATTCTTCAAAATGAAAACAACATTCAACTCACATTTAAACAATTTTATTTTCATTTCTACTATATAAATAACTTATATATATAGTGTTAACCGATAAACACTTGAGTAAACTATAATGAATTAAAAAGTTATTTTTGTTGTACGAACCCATATCGATTACTTTAAGTTGTAAAAAAAATATCTGCATGGTGATGTACGCTAATACTATTTAGTGAATATGTGTTGCCATGTGACTCTTTACTAATACACTCACCTTAAATTCTTTCTCAAAAAAATATCTCTTGTTCCGAAAATTAATCTTCATAGGTGATTTTACGCTGAACATGAAATCTTTTATTAGTGTACACAAATTCAATTCTCCTTCAAGTGTAATTTTGTAAGTTTATATAATTTTTATACATTCTTAATTCAATGCAGAAAACTATTACAGGATCTTAAAATCTATGACTTTTATGTATATTTCCTAATAGAAATTGTAAAAACCCAAAAAATATCAGTCTTCTTTGTTCTAATTTAATCTCATTTGATTAATATAAATATAACGTAGATCAATCATTTAAGAAAGTGTACATTTCATTTTTTAGAAGAAAACATATAAATATTATCTTAATAAGATAATGGGTCGAAACAAGCGTATAAACAGTGTTTACCATTTATAAAATGGGAGTTACTCCCTCTACCACCACGTACTGTTTTCTGCACCTCTCTATTCTTTTTTTTCCCTTCAATAATCTTTAAACGGATCTAAATATTCGTTGAATTCTTAAATGTAAACATCGACATCCGATTTTGCAGTGGAATTGAAATAAGAAAAAGGCAAAAGGAAGGGAAGAAAAAAAAAGGCAAAACAAAAACAAAAATAAAAAACAAACACACCCCAAAACTCAGGAATTCATTTTTGTTCGTTGCCTTTGAGTCAAACCATTCACTATATTATTATAAACGTGCATTATTGAGAAGTGGAAGCAAAAGCAAGGCTCGCGGCATTGCTCTGCGAGTTTTAACTTTAAAGCGTCACCTAACCTTCTTCATCTTCTTCATTTTGCTTTTCAAAAATTTAGCATTTTCTCGAATCTTCTGTTATTCCACCAATGTGCATCACTGATTGATCTTCGTTGACGAATTGCAAATGCACATCGCTGGGTAGGTAGATTATGCATCTTTCCTTCTTTGGATTTTGATTCTGATTCGGATTCAGAATGTTGCTTCCTTCTAGAATTGTTTCGATTTATTCTCTTTCATCGATTCATTTAGTGTTAACCATTTTCGTTATGTTTTTTTGTTGTTATAGAGTTTTGTTTGATTCAGAGTTGTGTGCCTCTAATGTTTGGTTTGAAAGCTGTATTAGTTTGAATATGTTTCGACGATTTGAAATTTTGAATTTAGTACTTCCTCCACCACCACTGCACACTGCCCCACGGATGTTGATATTCGTGGAAGGACAAACGGCTGCTCTACGGATGTGGATAGGGCATTTTTGGAATAAACAAAATTGTGGAGAGGTGCAGGGAGCATTTGAGGTGGTGGAGGGAGCAACTCTCTTATAAAATCCACATCTTATTATCATATTGGATATCCATTTAAAAATATTCGCATATATTTAAAGATATATGTCTGTATAAATACTTACGGATACTAAAAAAAGAAAATTTTTAATTTTTTAAAATATATCTAATAAAATTAAAATAAAACATATAAAATATAAAATAAATTATATTAGTGTTTTACTGTGTTTACTTTGTGCTCTTTTTTAAATATTAGTGTTGAGTAGCCTTATAATTATATTTGAAATCATTTGTGGAACACGTAACATAATAAAGTTATTTATTATTCCCTCAAATTACCTGTTTAGGAGTTTTGATTTCTGGTAAGACAAAATATGTCACTCAAAATATAAAAAAAAATAGTTAACAGGTCTCAAAATTCCTATATTAATATTAATAAGTTCAATTATTATGAGAGGTTGAAAATTTGTCTTAATAAATCTGATTTATTATATTAAGTCGAACTTAAGATAAATTTTTAGACCATGACGGATTTTTAAAAATTTATCATAATAAATTTAAGGGTTAAATATGTTTTTAGTCCCTAAATTATTGGTCGTTTCTGGTTTTCGTCCCTGTTTCAAAGTAAGGTACAATTTGGTCCTCATTCTTTTCGAAAACGTTCGTTTTAGTCCTCGAAAACTAAACACTGTTTAAAAATTTGGTCCTCATTTAGCAACAAATAAGGACTAAAACCAAAATTCCGAGGACTAAAACGAACGTTTCAAAAAGAATGAGGACGAAATTGTACCTTACTTTGAAAGAGGGACGAAAACCAGAAACGACCAATAGTTTAGGGACTAAAAACATATTTAACCCTAAATTTAAATTTGATACTCGTTTATGTGTTATAATAAATTTAACTTATTATGATAGGTTTTTATTATATTATAGAAAATTCAAACTTTTTATGATTATGCAAGTATGATGTGAAAATATTGGTTATAAAAGGTCAATTTCACATGTTATAAAAAGTTTTATATGCATTAGTGTTAATTTTTTTAAAACCATTTTATACATTAGAGGTAATGTGATCATTATTATCAGAAAAATAATAATTTACATTGGTAAAAAAATAAAAGAAATCTATTTTTTTTTAATATTTTTATATTTAGGAGTGCGAACCGAGTTAGAATATACATCTTTTTTATTATCAGTAGATATGAAAATTATATAATGATGCATATAATGGAATCTTTTATAAAAACAAGATAAAAGTAGTGTCAAGATATCAGTAGTCTAACTAAACTGGTGAAGTGATTCAATTATGGAGTAATTGAAGACTAAAATTAAATTTTGATAAAACCTTAACCAAACGTTAATGCTCTCCTTCTACGTCATTGACCAAACGTATCTACAGCTTAATTAAAAGCGTACGTGATCACGCTCTTTTCATGACATAATATTAATATGCGAATGCGAGAATCTGGAGTTTTAAGAATTACACCGTAGCTTTCCTAAGTCCATGCTGCTATTTGATTGTAGAAAGGTCCATCTAGGTATCAATTCAAATTCAAGCCAATTCTGAAAATAAAAGTTAGGACATTGCTATTAGAACCCCGAAAATCGCTATGTAAACCAACATCTTTGCACAAATGTGTTTGACTTTTAACATATTACAAGACATTGGAAATAAGTTTTCGTTTTCATGTTTCGACTAGATTTTGCCAACATATACTAATGCAAGCATTTGTTGAGATACAAATTTTTATTGCATTTATGTTGACTAATTATTAATATATAAACCCTTACTTATCTTTTGTCGACGTATAAAATAAAAAATATTTTTTTGATATATCTGAATCATATTTTACACATTATAAAAAAATATGTTTTAGTTGTGAAGTGGAGTGTCAAATGTTAAACAAAAACATATTTTGGAAAGGTAGGAATTTTTCTACAAAATTTCATACACCTCAAATCAATTAACAAAATAGTTAATAAAGTTATCTTAATGCAGGCGTGTTATTGTGACATGAGATAAGCTTCTTCACCAAGAGTTTTCTCACTAGAGGAAGAAATCAATTTAGGAGGAAAAAAGTTCTAACATTTTTCTAAAAGTGGAAATCTATATTTTCAAAAAAAAATTATTTTTACCTACTTTGTTAAAAATAAACATCCAAATGCATATATACACATGAATATTTTTCTTTAGAGATACTTTAAGCATCAATGCATGTTTTATTTATGACATTTAAATATTTGTATTAATGATTGATTAATATTCATTCCACAACAATCAGGTATGGTATACAAATCACCAGTAGTGCCATTTGGGTAATGAACCATGAAAGGTGTGAATTATAGACTCACTACACCCTCCGTTTTGAGATCAAATTTTAGAAAAATGATACCTTTGTACATGTTCTTTATTTCACCTTTCTAGAAATTAAATCCCAAAAGAATCTGAACCGAGTAAAAGAACTGACTCCATAATTTAATTTCTGCAAATTATTTTTCATAGTTCTGTAATTTAAATTAAGAAAACTCAACTTTTTACATTCTGGAACACACTTTGAAGAACGAGAAATACATTTTTGAAATTTTATATTAACTCAAAATTCCATGATCCGAAGACAATAAAATAAGTAGGACTTACACACTACCCGTCCCTCTAAAATAGGCAGTCTTATTACCCATCGAATATGAAAAAAATAACAAACATTTTTTACTTTTAATTTTAACTTTCATAAAATTATTTAAAAATAAATTTTTTAAAATATAAACTTGAATAAAAAAATAATTTTAATAAAATTCTGTAATAAAGTATTGGTGTAAATAATTTGGTCCTTCTAAAAATACAAATTCAAATAAATTACACAATACAATATAGGTTTTCTTAAAAAATTATCATTTTAAAAATAAGTTCAATTAATAAGCATAAACAAAAAATATAAACATGCAAAATTAAACTTTAAACACGACTTTAATGATTCAGGTTCCTCTCGCCAACAATATTACTTTGATTTCTTGATTTGTTTTAAAAAAAATTGCAAATAATTTTTTTCTAAAAGTGGTAGAGTGTTATCTAACACTTGGATATCCTGATAGTGGTACCTGTTGCGTTAATTAATTAAAATATGTGTACCTGATACCTACATACATATGTTGATTAAAAATATTTGTTCATTAAAAAATCTTCCAAATATGATTTCAGATTGTTTGTGTCTTTTATATTTAAAATAAAATATTCTAGTTCCTATAATATGAAGAAGAAAAAAAAAAGTTTGTTTTAATCTCGGCATAGGGTAGATCCGCAAG